GTCTCACTGAATATTATGCAAACGGGGTGGACTTGAGGGATTTAAACTTGGGGACATTCGTTGCTTTTTAGGAGTTGCAGATGTGACTTTAAAACCTGTTACTAAGTTGCAGGCAAATTGCTTCCCTTCTGCTGCCCACACCCTTCTGGCAGATTTCAAGCTGTACAAATACAATATTTGTAAGTCAGACAATTGGAACTTTATATGAATGAACTTGGCTTGCAAACTCTCCCCTCTTTGTTCCACTGCAGTAACAGGGATGGAAAAAGCATCATTTTCCCTGGAATGCCAGAGGACTTTCCTGATGAAAATCCCTTTTGTTGATCAGCAGTTTCACCAAAGGGCTTCCCAGTTAAGGATTGGAAGTGCTCAGCAAGCTCCTCTCTTCAAGAGCCTGCAGCTTTACTACCAACAATGACAGCCTTTTATCCTTCTATGTTGCCACATGGGAGGCAGTTTTTTTGCCTAGAGGCTTCTAGTTATGCATCTTTAATATATATTATGCACACCTTGTTCTTATTACAAACTTCCTTTACCAATGCATGCTTCTATTATCTTCAGCACAAATAAATTATTTTCTTGAGAAGTCCACAACGCTAAGCAAAGTGGGAAGAGAAGGGAAGAGGATGACCAGAAGCAAGATGGATGGACTCATTACAGTGGTGATAGGGGCACCTTTGAGAGACCTAAATCAGGGGGCTTCAAACTTGACAGCTTTAAGACTTGTGGACTTCGTACTGTGCTCTCTAATCCATAGCCATAAAAGGAGATATGTTATACATTTTTCAGTATACAATATAAGTATAACTAAATAGATATTATAAATTAAATATGAATATTTACATATATCTCCATTTTATGGCAGTTTCTCAGTTTCAACAGCTTCTCGTTGGTCCTACCTATATACCAATATGCCAATTTTATTTCCTCCTTTTTCTATATTCTTCACAGTACATAGACTATAATTATATAGATTTATCTCTGATTTTTCTCTTTTTAGATCTTTCTTCATTCTTGTTCCACTCAAGTCTAAGTGCTTTTATTATTATAACACTATTTCCTAATATTTTATCAGTAATTCAATTTTAACCTTAATTCATTTCCATCAAGGACTGAATGTGTACTTCTATAAGTCTGCAATCAAGTGAAATGACTATTCCATCAAAGTCTGTTTCCCATGTATACATCCACCATTCTATTTCCTGCCTTCTGAATCAGTCTTGATCTTCTTTTGTCATACCCTTTTTGGTCTTTGAAAGTTGTCAAGAGTCATATCCTTGGAAATATTTGGGGATTGCCATTGGAGATGTCCATTGATGACAATCTGAAAAAAAATATCAAGGTAGTTTCCCAATTTCACACTTGAAGGCTCAACTCTTTTATACAGTGGTAGGATTCAAAAATTTTTACTACTGGTTCAGTGGGTGTGATTTGGTGGGCGTGGCAGGGGAAGGATATACTGTAAAATCCCCATTATTTCCCTACCCCACTAACCTGCTTTCCAGCTCTGTTTTCCTGTACAGAGCAACAAAAGAAGACCCAGCCGATCAGCTGGGACTCAGGAGGGAGAGAATAGATGGGGACAGGGCCAGTCAGAGGTGGTATTTGCCAGTTTTCCGAACTACTCAAAATTTCTGCTACCAGTTCTCCAGAACTGGTCAGAACCTGCTGAATACCACCTCTGCTTTTATAGCATAACAATAGCACTTTAGGCTTATATGCTGGGCCATTTAACAATGTAGAATCATTATTTGCATATTGCCCTCAACAATCTGGGTCCTCATTTTACCAACCTCAGAAGGACAGAAGGCTATGTCAACCTTGAGCCCTGACAGGATTGAACTGCAGGCTGTGGATAGAGTTTGCCTGCAATATTGCACTTTAACCGCTGCGCCACCAGGGCTCCTATACATGCAACATACATAAAGATGGACTGATGCTTCAAGTACCTGGTTGCATCCATCACCTGGACTTTTTTTGACCCCCTTTGAGGACTCTTGCAGCTGCGATCACATTTCCACTCTCATTTTAAAGTTTTCTTAAAGCTAAAAATATCCCAGTTCCTTCAGGGTCTCTACTAGAATTTAATTCTAACCTCTGATCATCCTCTTCTCTCTTCAAGCTTAAAGGCACTATTTAACACTATATCTCAAGCTGGGGACCTAATAAATGCAAAATAAAATGGAGCTATTATTTCCAATTATTTGGAAAGAATACTTCTATTAGGGCAACATAAAATTCCATTTGAGTTTTTGCAGCCATATCACACCAATCATTTTTATTCATCTTATACTCAATTATTACTCAAAAATCTTGTTCATATTGTCAGTCCTTCTGTTCCTGTGCTTTGATTTCTCTTAGGGTGAAAGGAATTTCATTTATCCTTAACAAATTCATTTTGTTTTTTGAAGCTTCTTTAATTGGTTTTGTATTTTATTTCTGCCTTTTAGATTATACTACCTGATTTTATGAGGTTTACATATTTGCCATCTCTGCCTCAAAGCTATTATTATTTTTAAATAAGATTACAGAACCCAGGATTCAACCTTAAGGCACCCCATAAGATATGTCAGTTCAGTTTGATGACAAATTATTGATGATCACTTTCAGTTAAAAGTTCGACTTTTTACTGGCATCCAATAATTACCTTTTGTTTTCAAGATGCTCAAAATTAGAGGTTGGTTAGTAACAAGAGTCCATGGCTAATTTTGGCAAATAATTTATTTTTGAAGACTGTTTACTTATTTAAGAAAATATTGGTTCCACAAAATAAGTAAATTTTATATAATGTATTTTTTTCTAAACAGTTTATTTTTGCTATTTAGTCCTTTCTTGTAACTGGACTTTCTGCAACTGATATCACTTTACACTACTTTTTAATTAGGTATTTTGAGTAGGCTATAAACTCTAAAAAAAGGGGCTTCGTTTATAATATAAATAAAGATAAATCGATTCACAAAATGTAAGCAATATTTTTCAAACTACCGTAATAAGATTAGCAATAGGAAGCTATCTGCATTTTTGGTTTTGTCATTTTGTTTTATGCTTTGCAATTTGTAACATTTATTCCTAAGAGGCAAATCTTCCAGATGCACATCACTATAATAGAGGCACGCAAAACAGTAAACTTATTTTAAGGCTATCGGGAAATTATGCCATTTTGATGACAAAGTAGGAAAACGTGATATTTTTCTTAATTTTCTGGCTATGAAAACATGCATTTACAGAGATGACAAAACTGAGGTCACAGAGACATAAATCATTATTTCTTTTCTCTGTTTTTAATTGAGGGTATAATAGTATTTACAACTCAAATCCTTTGGTCCATGTCCAGACTTTTGTTTTGTTTGCAACAATTCCAGGTCTGTTCGTATCAAGCAATCCTGTAAAATGCAGGGTCCCGGACCCAATCCAAGTTCCTTAGTCTTCATTGACAGAAAAAAAATGTCTATGTGACATTTCAGGACTTTGATTTTGAGTGTGAATAGCTTGCTGACTGGGCTATATTAGGAAAGAGTTCTCAAATGTGATCATGTGACCCTAAAATAAATGAATTTGGGTGACTTACCTCATGGATACAACTGGCAGGCTGAAAACTGGCAGGAGTCCTGATGACTGCAAAAACATTCCGGGCCTATCAAAATGAAGACTGGCAATTTTATTGGCGGGAAGGGGACATGATCACGCATCTTCCACTTCCGGTTCCTCAGGGCAGATCCTTCTCTTCTAGTGTAGCAGCCATTCACTTAACACAGGAGGGTCAAACTCACGTCGTCATGGCAACATCACGTGACATATCATGACTTTATTCCTCGTTGCTAAACTGGGCTTGGGCCTGGGCACTGCATGACACATCCAGCTCAGGGGCCGCAAGTTTGACAGCCCTGATTTAACAGAGTAATTTAACAGACTTGGAAGCAATCTTAGACATCTCATAATCACAAATGGTTGTTCAATCTCTTTTTAAAAACCGCCCGTGTTTGAGTGCCCATAACTTCTGGAGGCATTTAATTTGTTCCACTGATTCATTATTCTAACCATTAGGAATTTTCTTCTTAGTTCTAGGTTTGTTCTCTTCTGGATTAGTTTCCAACTATTGCTTCTTGTTCTGCCTGTTGAACCCTTCCTCAAGTTCCTTCTGGTCATCTCCTACACATGCCTTTTTTATTAACTGGAGATTGTCCTCAATGTTTTTATCAGCTAGTGGTATCATAGTAGATCAAATTTACATTTGTGATCAGATGTTGCCACATATGACGATTCAACTGCAGGGTTTATAATGCATACTCTTAACCAAAATACTATGAGTATTTTCACAAATGAGTATATTCTTTTTTTTCATATTGACGTGCCCATTGGATGATTGCCCAAGTATAACTATGATTGACCTTTTTCTTCAATGTTGTACTAACATTGAATTATGGCTATTTTTACCCATATAGGTAGTCCTCGACTTCCAACCATTCATTTAATGACTGTTCCAAAATTATGACAGTGCTGAAAAAAAGCGCCCACACTTAGAATTATCACAAAATTCTAATGGGTCACAATCAAAATTTGGAGGCTTTTCAACTGACATGTATTTATGATGGTTGTGGTGTGTTGGGGTCACCCAATCACCACCTTCTCCAGGAGTTTCCAAGAAGCAAAGTCAACAGGGGAAGCTGGATTTGCTTAATGACTCTGTTGGGCATCACTCAGCAACTGCAATGGAAGTTCTGGTTCCCACAAGGTAATTTTAAGTCGTGGACTACCTACTGTATACTTTTAAGTAGATGGATTTTTAAAAGTCCTTAGGATTCTGTTTATGAGTGTGAAATAGCAGATACATGGAGAGAAGTTCTTGATGGTTGTTTGCTCTTGTTATTTTTTTCCTTCACCTATAATTGCAATATTCTTGGCTAATAAGCTTACATAAACTCCTTTTTACAGAATCAAATTATTCATCTATTGAATTCTGTGTTGGTTGTCTCTATAGACCAGCGTTTCTTAATCTCAGCAAGTTTAATGTATGGAGACATCAAGTCCAACAATTACCCAGCTAACTCTTTCCAGGCTTGGAAACAAAAGTTTTCAGTCCCTCTATCTGGAGAAATCAAGAACTGAGCCTGGAACCTTCTTGCATGCTTTGTTGTAGAATATGCTGTTATACAAGCATTCACCTTTTGTTTTAAGGCATGGATACTTTAAGGACACAAACTATATATTAACTAAACAAAGCAGAGATGATTCCTAGCCACAAATCAAAATTTACATGTACAGCTTTTACAATAACAAGGCTGTTCCACGTTAATTCAGTTAACTTGAAGTCCCCAAATATTGAAATGTCAAAGGATCAACGCAGGCATTTTTGAAGCAGACAAATATCTTTTTACCCAAGCTTTCCCTTCTTCAGAAGGGTAAACCTTTGTGTTTAATTAGGAGCCAATCCACTACATGAGACTGGAGCTTAAAGAATAATCATATCAACCAAAATAATTTTAAAAGAGCACTATATTGAGCGGAAAAGTTTAAAACAAAAGGTTGAAAGACAGCAGTAGTGTTACAACCACCAGAAGCACATGAAACAAAATTAGTAATCCATATAATCAGGCTGCTCTGTTGCATTTCCCATAATTTTTTTACATGATTAAGAAAAAACTAGGCAAAAATAAAAAAATCACACATTTATCAAACGTTTAATTTCCCATCCAAAACTACTTTGGAGATTCTGTATAAGAATCTCAAAGTCCAGACTGAAAAGTACAAGTGTAGTACATTAAAAGCTATTTTATGATGATCAAATTCAACACCTCTTTCTAGCTCATATAATTAGATTATAATAGCTATTCCTTAAACTATAAATCAGAGTGCTGGAATTCCATTACATCAAGTGAAAAGGAAAAAAAAGTAAGTAACATCCCAGAAAAGTGCAAGTCAAATTAGAGGAGCAAATGGAATATTAAAACAAAGGATTTTTTTTAAAAAAAAAACCTAGTATAATAAAAAAAACATAACTAAAAGAGAAGACATTAAAAAAAAACTGTTAGCAATATGTAACAAAACATGTAAGAAAAGCAGAGAATGGTTCTTAAGGAAGATATTTAGGAAAGGTTTTCTGATGGAAGCTGCAACAAAGCAGCATCACTGGATGGTCCCCTCTTGTTAATAAATCAAGTGTCAAAGGTTGATCTGCAATTAATAAGAGCAGCTTAAACTTTTTCCAAGGATTGGTAATATTCTGTCAGCACTGTCCATGCTTTCGGAGCCATGAAACCTTCCGGAGGATTTTGACCTTCTCGAGCCAGTTTGCGCATACGAGTTCCTGAAATGAATTCAAAATCTTCATGGCTAAGAGAAAAAAAGAAAAGAAACCTTTTAGAAGGAATATGCAGTAAATTTCTATTGAACTTTGCTTGCATTTAAAGTAGTACAGGCTGTCCTCCACTTACGGGCACAATTGAAACCAGAGTTTCTGTTGCTAAGAAAGATGCTTTTCAGCAGGCCATGTCTTTTGGGGTTTTTTTTGCCACAGTTAAAAAAGAGAATCACTGAAGGTTGTTAAATGAATCACGTGGTCATTAAGCAAATCCTGTCTCCCCCTCCCTCATTGACTATGTTTTTTGGAAACTGGCTCAGAGAACTGCAAATGGTGATCAAGTGACTCAAGGACCCTGCAACCGTCATAAATACATGCCCGTTGTCAAGCTTTTGAATTTTGATCACATGACTGTGGAGATGCTGCAATGGTCTTAAGGGACTTTTTTTCAGTGGTGTTGTAATGAATGGTCGCTCAATGAACTGTTGTAAATCAAGGAGCCCTGTATTGTAAGCCAAATGAACATCTTACAGTTGTGAAAGATCACATTAGCAGTGACTGGGTTTTTTACTGCACCGCCATGGGAAATATATCATTCGACAACATTGGGATGAATGGGTTGTCAGGGAAAAGGGGAGATAAGATTTTACAGTGTGCTCTTTAGCATGCCAAAATGTGCTTACGACACAAAAGAACAATCTGGAGATCTTGCAGAAAGCATTTTATTTTGCACGTTCAAAAATACCACACACAAGTAAAATCTGCCACAGAACTACAGGGTGGCATGAGTTGATTTGGTTTCTGGTCAGTCTTGCCATGCCTTGCTCAAGATATACTTTTCTATGTTATTGCTTCTTCCTTCCTGCTCCATATTCTGTGCATCCAAAAACACCCAATACACTATGATTTCTTTAAAACAAGTTCTGTCGTGTTTCTCTGAATTTGGATGGTTTTCATCTTCCCAAAGACTGCCGATATTTACCTTCTTCCATGGGTCTATTCTGCTCCCATAAACATTCTTCCTCAGAAAACAAAATGAATTATTTGTTTGTAAGATACCACCCATTTACTTATGTGATGGCCTAGATTAATTAGTTAAGGCCACTTTTCCAGTGGTGGGATTCAAAAACTTTTACTAACGTGGGTATGGCTTGGTAGGCGTGGCAGGGGAAGGATACTGTAAAACCTCCAGTCAGAAATGATATTTGCCAGTTCTCCAAACTACTCAAAATTTCCCTACTGGTTCTCCAGAACTGGTCAGAACCTGCTGAATACCACCTCTGCACTTTTCCCACAAAATGAAGTATTTGCATTCCATTGACAGCATGGCACTTCATAAATTGTCAAATGGATACATAAGAGAGAAAAACAAAATCAAATATCCAGGTAACCATGACATACTCTGTTTATCTAGGTTTTTATTAAGCGAATTAAAAACATGCAGCCTCAAAAAAGTATGACTGCAACACACACACAGTTTTCAAGTCTCCGAGGCAAGAGTGATTAATCAACAATAAAAAGAGATGTTTTTACTTGCTCTTTCACTCAGCTTATTCCATCAATGTTTTAGTCATTGTCAATTGATCCAACTTAAATATAAGCCAAATGCTGATTTCAGTTGGATATGGCTCGACAGAAGAAAACGGGAACCAAATATATTTGGGGCTAATTTGCTTGTCTGAATGTTAAGCTAGACATACTACTTAGCAAATAAAGAACAAGTCTTCTTGTTGTACGTGCAAAATATTAGCAGCATAATCTTTGAACTGGCTGGGTACAAATGTGCAAAGATCACTGCAATTCTCAGAAATTACCCCAGAATTTCTGTGCAAAAAATTACTAACTGTTTAAATAGTAGTGAAAAATACAATTAGCAATTTTATAACTGGCAAGCTCATGGTCCATCCATTTTGAAAAATCTGTGCCACCAAATAATATCTTATTCCAATACTGGATAACAGTTCTGACCTTAAAAGCCTTAGAAGATATACAGTATATAGAACTGATCCCCTCCTCAGTTCTGGACAATTTATATGGTTTGGGCATATAGGATCTGGGGCCCAAAACATCAGGAAAGCATTAGGTTGCCTACCTTGGCAGCTCCAATGGTGGTTGATGCCAGTAAGTATATGTAACATTTAAACATCTAACAACTCATGTATCCCACCTGATGCAATCCCGGGACTCTGAAGTGTTACTCTGGGTGAGTTAACAGAATAACAGGGTTGGAAGATCTTGTAGTATCCCCTGCTCAAGCAGGAGACCATTTCAGACAAATTTTAAAAGCCTCCAGTGATAGAGCTTTCACAATTTCTGAAGGCAAGTTGTTTCACAGATTGATTGGGCTGTCAGGGAATTTCTCTTTATTTCTAGGTTGGTTTTCGCCTTGATTAGTTTCCATCCATTACTTCTTGTCCTGCCCTCAGGTGTTTTGGAGAATAGATTGACCCCCATCTTCTTTGTGGCAGCCCCTGAGATATTGGAACACAGCTATCACCCTACTCCTTTTAATTAATTCTCCATCCAAGATAAAAAATTATATTTCACTATGCTTTTGGCACCTTGTACTTTTTCTTAGCTGCTTAATAAGTGACTACTTTTTAATGGTTTTGGTTTTTTTAATGAATTGTCTTTGGTCATATTTAAAGTTTTGTAGAATCTTTTTTGACCTTGAGCCTGACGATTTTTTAAAAAAGAGAACAATAAATAAGTACAAATTTCATTCCAATAGCACTTTCATATATTCAGATTATGATTGATCATGCCGTTCCTTGTCTGTTTATATTTATTACTTATGAACATTTATTTATTATATTTCTGTTCCACCACAGCTGGCAAATCTTGGCAGACTTCAAAATGCCAAGTTGGGTTATTTACATTTTGGGTTAACGTGTAGATGGTAGATCAAAACTGGAAAGTTGGGGATATAAACTACGGAGAGAAGTAGAAAGCACATGCTTCAAAAAGGCAATCAGACACTGTTTTCATACTGTTGCTCTGAAAACAACATGGAAGAAGTGAAGGTCTAATCAAAGAACATAGTACTTGTAAGTTTGCCCAAGCTGATTTTTTTATATTTTATATATACATATACACACACATAAACACACACACACATATATACTGTATATGTATATATCTGTGTGTGTGTGTGTGTATTTTATTTTTAGAAAAAAATAAAGTTGTTGAAGATAAATGTCATTAGCCAGCGTGAAAGAAATCTCTTGAACTTTTGTCAAAGGTTGATATATAGGTACCAACTATATTTCCCTTGTGAGAACATTCCGCAAGCAAGACCACACACAGTGATTTTCAGTATTACTTTTTGGTTTTATATTCCTTGCCCTGCTCACTTGCCAGAAATATCTCAAAACACATTTAAGCCAAGCTGAATTTTATATTTCTGTCCTTACATATTCCTTTCTTCTATTTCCTACAGGTAAAGGTTTCCCCTGTCCATTGTTTCCAACCCTAGGGGCAGCACTCTCTGTTTCTTAGCCAAGGGAGCCAACATTGTCCAAAGACATTTCTGTGGTCATGTGACCAGCATGACCGTATGCTAAGGCGCACAGAACACTGTTACCTTCCCACCGAAGTGTGCCTGTTTATCTATTCACATTTGCATGATTTCAAACTGTTAAATGGGCAGGAGTTGGGGAAAGTAACTGGAGCTCAACCTGTTGTGAGGAGCTGGAGTCTTGAACCCAGGTGGTCAGCTTTCTAGCTGACTAACTCAGCATTTTTAACTGCCGAGGCACTATGCCCCCCAAATTATTCCCCATAGTTTATTAAATTCTAAACTTCAAAGCAATAATACTTTGGGAAGTTTTTCCATGAACACTTATCAAAAGGTCTCTCTTCTATACTGCATTTATAATAGCGAAACAAAAATACATACATTTTCCCTAGGAATCAAACAACAGATGCCATTTAAAAAATAATACAATGACTATTATATCTCTATGTACACTGCCAACTCAAAAGAGAAAATTTTGTGATATATTTGTGATATAATAGGACAATGCTACACCCATCTGTTTGTCACATGGGGACCTAGTTTATATACTTAGTGTTAACTCACTAGTGCTCTATATCTAATTGCATTGTTCTATGCAATTTCACCAACTGTACTTCTGCATATTCTCTACCATCTGTATTCTGTAGCTTCTAATTCCTAAGGCTGTCCTCTTCTTACTATTCTTATATTAAGCAAGAAAGTCAACGAACTGAGAAAGGGGTTTTTGCCTAGGTAATGAAATCACAATGGGGCAGAATTATATGTGGTTAGTTTTAAGCCATGCCATCTTACTGTGACATTTGTACTGGATAACAATTGTGAATAAATTCAGCTCTCTGAAGAAGAAAGATTACAGAGGCCTTACCAAAAAAAAAGAAAAGAAAAGAAAAAAGCCAACACACGCTTCATAATAAGTATTAATGAGAAACAGTTTATTTTCCATTTAATCTGGCATTTAAAATGTACTTCAGTTTGGGGAATAAACTATACTGAGTTACACAAAAGAAGTTTAATGGAAGATCTGAACTAGGAATAAACAGTGCAAATTAGAGACATTTCCTAATTGAATCAAGCGCCGAAAGATACTGCTAATGTGTTTTTTATCAAGCATTTCTGTGTAACAGACGCAACAGCAAGCTATGGACAATCTATGTCATTAAAACAAGTGAACAAATGTCTGGATATTCCGTACAAATATAGTACTCTCTGACAACTTCTCATATTACAAATTTTAAGAAGCTTCAAGGTAAAGAAATAAGATGGCACAATAGAATAGATAAAATCTTTGATACCAGATGGGGAAAACTGTAGAACTTTGATCGCTATCATGAATATTAAATATATAAATAAAACTCCTTAACAGAATAAAGGGAAGTTATAGAGATATTGCAATAGGCTGCGCCCACATAGCAATTCATAATATTATGTATCTTATAACTGAAGGAAGAATTGTAAAATAAATTATTTGTTACCCTGCATTGAGGTCCTTTTAATGGCCAGGTGATCACAATGCCA